GGAGCTTCCGTGGTGCGGTTGCTTGGGATGTTTTCGTTTTGCCTGCCCCGCGTCTCGGGCTTTCCTTGGTGTACCTGCCCTCAGTTACTGTCCTCATCTGTCCCTTGATCCTCGGGGATAAGTGGCCTGCTCGCTAGCCCTTTGGCATGTCGAATTTCGGAAATTTTGTTGCTGTAGTTCACTGGCTTCTGCGGCAACTCATTTTCCTCGCCGGCTTCCCTTGTTTTCCCCTTACCTACCCCTTTACTCTTCCCTTTCCCCGACCCTTATGGCTCCCCGCGTTCTCTCTCTCTTACCGCCTCCTCCTTCCTGCACTTCCCCTGTCATCGGTTCCTCCCTCCCCTGCTTCTTTCTCTGTCGCTTCTGACTTTCCTCCTCGTCGTTTAACCCAGACCCTCCCTCTGCTGTCCCTCATGCATTCGTAAGCGGTGACCGGTTTGTGCAATGACTTAAACGGGCTAACAGTGCCGGGGGTAGTTGTGCCTATGTTGTGATTACATCGAAGTGTGAACTCGCAGTGCGCGTCCTCCGTGATTGCGGCTGTCAACAGCAAGTCGGCCAGCTCGGGGTGCAGTCATTTCGTTTCGTTTTCAGCTGAGCAATAGCTTGTTGTGTTAGCGGAAGATGTCAGCATCGAAGCCAAAGCGTTCATCGTCGCGTACGGTGACCACAACGTCGAGTTCGAGTCGCAGCACAACATCTGCCGAGTATCCGATAATCGTGGAAAGCGGCGCAGGCGAGGATGTCGAATCTGCCTATGGGTAACTGCATTTTGTTCATTCGACTGTATGCACTGTCCTTTTGGAGTGCAGAATTTTCATAAATTTGCGGGGAAGGAGGAAATTCGTAGTCGCGGGCCTATCATTCGTCTCAGTTTTTGAACAGATTGAAGTTTGGCGGGCAGTGAAAGTGAAGCTGTCTGGATGTTGCAAGCACTACAGCTTTTTTTCAAATCCTTTTCGTAAGCTTTTCTATGTAGGTTGATATTTTTTAGAACGAAAGTATGGTTCAGTTTTTAAGAGGCTGTCGCTATGGTAAAAAGCACGACCTTTAAGCATTTGAATATCCGATTTTACAGAATCTTGGAAGGGTTTGCTTGTTCGTCCCGTGATAAATTTATGGTGCTTGCATCAGCTGAGCAACTTTTAAAGTCAAGGAATTGCTCGGCTTCTCCCTAGGGGATGGTTTATGAGAATTCCGACTTTTTATTAATCCGTTTGGAATTTTCAGTTGGCAGGAGGAGGGGACGAGTGAGGGGGAGGGTAGGGGAGGAAGGGCTGAGGCGAATGTGGTTGATGCAGTTGCATTCTTTGTGTTTGAAATACAGGGTGAGAAATAGGGCTTATGAAAATTTTGATGCTGAGAGGAAGAAATATTACTTCGAAGGTGTAATTTAATAGTTCCTCAGTGGCGGGGAAAGACTGCCGCAACTGCTTGTAACTGCAAAGCAACAGCTGCTGGGAAAGGGGATCCATCAACTGGGTGGTGTAAGTATAGATTTGATATTATCCGCGGTGCATCGAATGATTTTTATTGTGCGTTTTGTGTTGCGTAACAGCAGTACAAAACGCATATTGTCACGGGTTGTCTGTGTGTGTGTGTGTGTGTGTCCGCAGCAACTTGTTCGCAACTTTCAACTCGGGAACCACAAAAGC